GCCTCCCCACGGCTTGTCCCCTCCCTGTCCCGGGGGCGGAAGTGTCTGGAAATGGGTTAAACAGCTTTATTGACCCCTGTATTGGCACCTCAGGGTGGTCTCAGCATGGGTGTAGGACCTTGGCGTGGGTGGAGGACCTTGGCGTGGGTGGAGGACCTTGGCATGGGTGCAGGGTCTCAGCATGGGTGCTAGACCCCGGCATGGGTGCAGTCTTGGCATGGGTGGAGGGTCTCCAAGTGGGTGCAGGGTCCCAGCATGGGTGTAGGACCCCAGCATGGGTGCAGTCTTGGCGTGGGTTGAAGGGTCTCCAAGTGGGTGCAGGACACCGGCATGGATGTGGGACCCTGGCATGGGTGCAGGGTCTCCAAGTGGGTGCAGGAACCTCAGTGTAGGTGCAGGAGGACCCTGGTTTGGGTTGTCTGGCCTTGGCACTGGTGTGGGACCCCAGTAAGGGTGTAGGATCCCAGTATAAGCATGGGCCACCAGTATGAGTACAGGGTCTTGGCCATGGGTGCAGGACCTCGGTGAAGGCACGGGACCTTGGCATGTGTGTAGAACCTCAACGTGGGTACAGGACCCTGGCATGGGTGCATGGCCTCAACCTATGGATGTGAGACCCCCAGCATGGGTGCAGAGTCTTGGCACGGGTGGAGGTCTCCGAGTGGGTGCAAGACCCCCAGCATGGGTGCAGCACCCCAGTGTTGGTGCAACAGGGCCCTGGTTTGAGTGCCTGGCCTCAGAGTGGGTGCAGGATGCTGACATGGGACTCCAGTATGGGTGTGGGACCCCAGTATAAGTGTGGGACCTCAACATGGGTGATGGGACACCAGCATAGGCGCAGAACCTTGGTGTGGGTGCATCACCTTGACATGGGTAGAGGACCTTGGCCACCTGGCATGGGTGTGGGACCCCAGCTTGGGTGTAGCACCCTGCCGTGGGTGCAGGACCCTGGTTTGGGTGCCTGGCCTCAGCGTGGGTGCAGGATGCTGGTGTGGGACCCAGGAATGGGTGCAGGCTCTTGGTGTGGGTGGAGGACGTTGGTGCAGGTACAGGATCTTGGCATGGGTGCAGGGTTTTGGCATCGGTGCAGGGTCTTGGTGTGGGTGCAGCACCCCAACGTGGGGCATAACACCCCAACGTGGGGCACAGCACCCCAGAAGCTCCTCGCTCTCCTTCCTACCAGCCACGGACGGGGTGCCAGAGCTCCACCACCTTCCCCTCGGCATGGACGTAGTAGACGGGGTGCATGGCGGCAGTGGCACCAGGGTCTCAGCATGGGTGTAGGACCCCAGCATGGGTGCAGTCTTGGCGTGGGTTGAAGGGTCTCCAAGTGGGTGCAGGACACCGGCATGGATGTGGGACCCTGGCATGGGTGCAGGGTCTTGGTGTGGGTGCAGGAACCTCAGCGTAGGTGCAGGAGGACCCTGGTTTGGGTTGCCTGGCCTTGGCACGGGTGTGGGACCCCAGTAAGGGTGTAGGACCCCAGTATAAGCATGGGCCACCAGTACGGGTACAGGGTCTTGGCCATGGGTGCAGGACCTCGGTGAAGGCACGGGACCTTGGCATGTGTGTAGCACCCCAACGTGGGGGTACAGGACCCTGGCATGGGTGCATGGCCTCAACCTATGGATGTGAGACCCCCAGCATGGATGCAGAGTCTTGGCGTGAGTGGAGGGTCTCCGAGTGGGTGCAGGACCCCCAGCATGGGTGCAGCACCCCGGTGTGGGTGCAGTAGGACCCTGGTTTGGGTGCCTGGCCTCAGGGTGGGTGCAGGATGCTGACATGGGACTCCAGTATGGGTGTGGGACCCCAGTATAAGTGTGGGATCTCAACATGGGTGATGGGACACCAGCATAGGCGCAGAACCTTGGTGTGGGTGCATCACCTTGACATGGGTAGAGGACCTTGGCCACCTGGCATGGGTGTGGGACCCCAGCTTGGGTGTAGCACCCTGCCGTGGGTGCAGGACCCTGGTTTGGGTGCCTGGCCTCAGCGTGGGTGCAGGATGCTGGTGTGGGACCCAGGAATGGGTGCAGGCTCTTGGTGTGGGTGGAGGACGTTGGTGCAGGTACAGGATCTTGGCATGGGTGCAGGGTTTTGGCATCGGTGCAGGGTCTTGGTGTGGGTGCAGCACCCCAACGTGGGGCATAACACCCCAACGTGGGGCACAGCACCCCAGAAGCTCCTCGCTCTCCTTCCTACCAGCCACGGACGGGGTGCCAGAGCTCCACCACCTTCCCCTCGGCATGGACGTAGTAGACGGGGTGCATGGCGGCAGTGGCACAGGCCTGCGGGGTGGGGAGGGATGTTGAGTTGGGCATGACATGGCATGACATGGCATGACATGGCATGACAGGGCATGACATGGCATGTACTCACGTGGTAGGGGATGAGAGCCAGGGTGCTGCCCAACGGGAAGCGCTTGAAGTCCAACTGGCCATCAACAGCTTCCACCTGCCCATGCTCCTGGGTCAGCCCCACCAGCCTGTGGGGACAACACTGTCAAGTCCCCACCCCACGTGTCCTCCATCACCACCCACCCCACCACCACCCACCCCACCACCACCCCCACGGTGCTCACCTGAGCTGGGGGTGCCCCTCCTCAACCTATGGATGTGAGACCCCCAGCATGGGTGCAGAGTCTTGGCACGGGTGGAGGTCTCCGAGTGGGTGCAAGACCCCCAGCATGGGTGCAGCACCCCAGTGTTGGTGCAACAGGGCCCTGGTTTGAGTGCCTGGCCTCAGAGTGGGTGCAGGATGCTGACATGGGACTCCAGTATGGGTGTGGGACCCCAGTATAAGTGTGGGACCTCAACATGGGTGATGGGACACCAGCATAGGCGCAGAACCTTGGTGTGGGTGCATCACCTTGACGTGGGTAGAGGACCTTGGCCACCTGGCATGGGTGTGGGACCCCAGCTTGGGTGTAGCACCCTGCCGTGGGTGCAGGACCCTGGTTTGGGTGCCTGGCCTCAGCGTGGGTGCAGGATGCTGGTGTGGGACCCAGGAATGGGTGCAGGCTCTTGGTGTGGGTGGAGGACGTTGGTGCAGGTACAGGATCTTGGCATGGGTGCAGGGTTTTGGCATCGGTGCAGGGTCTTGGTGTGGGTGCAGCACCCCAACGTGGGGCATAACACCCCAACGTGGGGCACAGCACCCCAGAAGCTCCTCGCTCTCCTTCCTACCAGCCACGGACGGGGTGCCAGAGCTCCACCACCTTCCCCTCGGCATGGACGTAGTAGACGGGGTGCATGGCGGCAGTGGCACAGGCCTGCGGGGTGGGGAGGGATGTTGAGTTGGGCATGACATGGCATGACATGGCATGACATGGCATGACCGGAATGAGTGCAGGCTCTTGGTGTGGGTGGAGGACATAGGTGCAGGTAGAGGTTCTTGGCATGGGTGCAGGGTTTTGGCATGGGTGCAGGGTCTTGGTGTGGGTGCAGCACCCCAACGTGGGGCATAACACCCCAACGTGGGGCACAGCACCCCAGAAGCTCCTCGCTCTCCTTCCTACCAGCCACGGACGGGGTGCCAGAGCTCCACCACCTTCCCCTCGGCGTGGACATAGTAGACGGGGTGCATGGCGGCGGTGGCACAGGCCTGCAGGGTGGGGAGGGATGTTGAGTTGGGCATGACATGGCATGACATGGCATGACATGGCATGACATGGCATGACAGGGCATGACATGGCGTGTACTCACGTGGTAGGGGATGAGAGCCAGGGTGCTGCCCAACGGGAAGCGCTTGAAGTCCAACTGGCCATCAACAGCTTCCACCTGCCCATGCTCCTGGGTCAGCCCCACCAGCCTGTGGGGACAACACTGTCAAGTCCCCACCCCACGTGTCCTCCATCACCACCCACCCCACCACCACCCACCCCACCACCACCCCCACGGTGCTCACCTGAGCTGGGGGTGCCCCTCGATGGTGGCACAGCCCGCGGTTGATTGGTGACGGCCGTGGAGGCTGAGGGCAGCCCACCCGCAGTCCACCAGCAGCTGGTTGCGGTGGGGGTAGTGACCGATGACCCTGGTGAGGACACGGATGGCCACCTCCTCCGGCTGGCAGGAACCCAGCAGGGTCTGCTGAAGGTCTGGGAGAAGAAGGTGCCCAGTTCAGGTTGGGGTCCAGCCCACCCTAGCTAGGGGGGAGGTCACACCAGGGGGGTGGTGGGGGGTTCCATCCAGCTCACCATAGAAGAGGTAGTTGCCCGGGTGGAGCTCGGTGAGCTGGGCCATCTCCGGCACCGGGTGGCTGCAGGATGGTGTGGAGCCGATGGTGGCCTGGGGACACGGTATGCCCGCCTGTCGCAGCCTGCTGGCACATGGGACCTTCTGAGAGGCCAGGGCATGGCCGGGAGGGGACATCACCGCCAGGCACCATAGAAGTGGGACCAGAGGTGGGTCCATCACCCTTGGTGCCACAGGAACAAGACCAGCGATGAGTCCATCACCCCCAAGTACCATGAGGACTGGGACCAGAGGTGGGTCCATCATCCTTGGTCACCATGGGATTGGGACCAGAGGTGGGTCCATCACCACTGGATGCCACAGGAGTGGGACCAGAGGTGGATCCATCACCCCCAGACACCGTAGGGAGCAAGACCAGAGGTGGATCCATCACCCTTGGGTGCCACAGGAGAGGGACCGGAAATGATCCCTCAGGGAGTCCCAGATGTTCCAGGGAGCACCCCAGACATTCATAGGAGCCATCCAGCTGTGGCAGAGAGCCCCTTTCCCAAATGTCCCCAGGCATCTCCAGATGTGCCCGGGAGCCCCCAGATGTGCCAGAGACACCACCCCCCCCAAGATGTGTAAAAAAACCCCCAGATGTTCTTGGGGACCCTCCTTGGATGTACTCATCCCCCCTCCCAACGTGTCAGAGCACCCCCAGATGTGGCTGGGAGCCCCCAGATGTGCCAGAGACTCCACCACCCCCCAAGATGTGTAAAAACACCCCCAGATGTTCTTGAGGACCCTCCTTGGATGTACTCGTCCCCCCTCCCAACGTGTCAGAGCACCCCCAGATGTGGCTGGGAGCCCCCAGATGTGGCAGAGCACCCCCCCAATATGTCCACCCCTCCTACCCCCCAAAAAATGTGCCAGAGCCCCCCCCGATATGTGCCAGGGACCCCCCTCCCCCTCTATGTGCCCGAGCATCCCAGACGTGTCCCAAGCACGTCCCCACGCAGGTGGTGGTGGGGAGGGAGATGGGGGGGTCCCAGGGGACATCCCACCCCCCCTCACCATCCCCAATTAAGAACCAGCCGTAAGGAAAAGGATTTAAAAAGGAAAAAAAAAAAAAAGGGAAAGGGGGGGGGGGGGGGGGGGGGGGACACAACACAATGACAGGTCACAACCGGCCATCAAAACCACATCAAAGGTGACCTGAGCCGCCACCATCCTCCTCCAGCTCCCCGGGGGGGCTTTGTAGGGCCTCCTTTTATGGGGGGGGGATGATTTGCATTTACAACCAGCCACCGGGGTTTTATGGTGGGGCCAGGGGGGGTGGAGGACACCCCCCCACCTCCCCCAAAATAACCCCCTTAACCCTGCCCAGCCTGGATTGGGGCCACTCACGCGGTGACGAAGTCCATCAGGGCGGCGGTGGTGGCCCGGGCGATGGCTTGGACAGCAGGGACATCATGGCAGCCGTAGGTGTCTCCACAGTGAGCGTAGACCCCCACCAGTGTCACCACCTCTGGTGCCTCCTGGGCGATGGCCCGGGCCAGGGACATGGCACCGGGGTCCGTGGGTCGCACGCCGGCTGCCCGTGGGGAGGGGGGAAGTCCAGGCATGAGATATGGGGCTTGGGAAGTGGGCCCTTGGTGCCCCACGTTGGGTGAGATGGTGGGGATGAGGGGCTGGGGGGACATGGGGCATCACCCCCACCATGGAGGATCCTGGGGGAGAGTGGGTAAAAATGGGGTTTGAGGGAATGGGGGGCCCAAATGTCTCATCATGGGGACTTTGGGCCACCTCTGCCCCATGGCACAGCCTTGAAGAATGACTTCTTTTGGGAAAGGGGTGTCTTAAATGCCCCATCCTGGTTGAGGTGGTGGGGTCGGGCATCTGGGGGGACATGGGGCATCACCCCCCATGGAACATCCCTGTGCTGGGTGGGTGCAGATGGGATTTGGTGGTGGGATTTAAATGTCCCATCCTGGTTGAGATGGTGAGTTTGGGGGCCTGAGGTTGGTGGGACATGGAGCATCCATCCCCAATGGAACATCCTTGGATAATGACTTTTGGGGAGCTGGGGGGGGCTTAAATGCCCCATCCTGGTTGGATGGGGATTGGGGAGCACATAGAGCATTCCTTCCCATGGAGAATCCTTGAAGAATGACTTTTTGGGGGGGGAGGTCTTTGATGCCCCACCCTGGTTGGAGATGGTGGGTCAGGGGCTTGGGGAGGACATAGAGCATCCCTTCTGATGGAGCATCCTTGAAGAATGACTTTTTGGGGAGGGGAGTGTCTTAAATGCCTCATCCTGATTGAGATGGTGGTTCCGGGGGCCTGAGTTTGGTGGGAATAATGACTTTTGGGGGGGGGGGGGGGGTGTCTAAAATGCCCAA